AGGCTAAGAACAACTCATGATGTTTAAGTGATATTTACCAATCTTTGTGCCTCTACCTTGGGTATGTATTTTTTTGATGTCATTCCAATATAGATTTCTTCATGTCCCCACCCCTTGTCAGTTTCATAGCTGCCACAGGCAACTATACATTTGCTGTTCCAGTAGTAAATCTGGACATCTGATTACCCAAAGTTAGGTCACATGGCATGGAGTTTTTTTTGTTAGTTATTGTTAGTTTTTGTTAGTTAGTTTTGTTAGTGACTTTAAATTTTTCTGGGGTCTTATTACTTCCTTCCATGGGATTTGATGCTTTCATTTATATATTAATATTTATATATGTATGCTCATACATATATAGATATAGAAAATACACACACATTAACATACTATAATATATATAAAACACATGTATAATCACATATATGTATGTATTGTTTTTTGCAAAAGAAAAAAAGAAAGCAAGCAAAACAAGACTGACCTGACCTACCTGTACTGGGTTCACATTCAATGAAGTCTTCGTCATCACTTGAACATTCAGCAGATGAAACAAGGTCATCTGATGTTGGCTGTTCATGGAAAAGAAAGAATAACATGGTGGGGAGAAGAAAGAAAAGGAGAGTTAAGGAAACCAATGAACAAAGACATCAGAGATTCATCACTGCATCCCATCTCCCATCACCATTATTATTACTTTTCTCTAAAGAAGATATGGAGTATATGGAGAATTTTTAATCCTTGTGCATCTGTGAATGTCTCTGGGTACAGACAATTCATGGGGGCCTTCTATGAAGCTGAGTAACCCAAAGGGATTCCAGGAGGCTCAGCCTATCCCTATAAGTGACATTGTGTAGCTTGACTCTATTTAGACTTTATTTCAGTTATGAGAATCAGAAACATGAGAGAAGGGCTGAAGTAAAGGGTGGGCATTGTAAGAGTGCAAACCAACACAGAAACACACTGTGTCTTTGAGGGGGTCCTAGTGCATATGGTGTGTGGTCTCGAGAGTACGGCTCAGAGGCTGTGAATCCATAGGCTGGCATAATCAACGAATGATGTGGAATGAATGCCTTCTGGTCAGCAATGGCACAAGGGCTGTTTATCACTGCCAACAATTCCTTCATGTAATTGCTGCAATAGCTGAGTTAGTAATGTGGACCAGGAGAGTGATACTACACAGCTGCCCCTGAATACAGGTAGGGCTGTTTGTAAAGAGAGCAGAAGGAAAGTTTTACTGTATTGATATTAGTTCAACTTGAGATACTTTCTAAATTCTGAGTCCTGTAGATAGTCCTCAATGCCAGGGAATCCCTTGCAAGAAATAGAGAGGACTGTGAGTATGGGCAGTGAGAAGGGTCCTGCTCACACAGTAGGTGGGAAGTCTGCTGTCTGTACCTGGTACACACTGTGTGCACAATAAACACTACTGAATGAACGAATGGATTTGTAGGCCTTATGCAAAAACCCAAACTTTTGGCCTACACGTGTACACGTATAAGAGTACAATGTATTGTTTTTAATCAGTAATGCTCATTCTTTCCCTTTCTGTATGTATTCATATTAACAGACTTGCTGATATTCTCATTCCCAGTGCTCTAAAGTCTGGATCCATATTCAAGAGGAAAAAGTAATAAGGAAACCGCGTCCCTTCTACGGAGTGATTACTACTCAGTCCGATGCTGTGTAAGTCAGACATGTATATATACCTATTCTTTGTAGGAATTATTAATAAATCAGGCACAATTCTCACAACCATCCTTTGGGACAGGGTAACTATCCATTTGGGTAGTCCTTTGGGATGGGGTAACTTCCATTTAATGAGAACTGAAGTTAGAGAGGTTGAGTGAATTGCTGAAGGACACACAGCTGGTAAAGCACATAGTAAGAGTTTAAACACAAAGTCTGTGTTCAAAGCTTGTGTTTGCAGCTCACAATGAGCTTCTTGATACCTGGCCTTACAGACATTATGAGCTGAGTTACATCCTCCTCTCATCCCTATGTTGAAGTCCTAACCCACATCTCCTCAGGCCATGACAGAATTTTGAAATCGGGTCTTAAAGAGGTAGTTGAGTTATAATGAAGTCCTTAGGATAGGCCCTGAGCCAACCATGACTAGTGTCCCTGTAAAAAGAAGACATTAAGACACAGACAGACATAGCGGGAGGAGGAGCCTGTGAAGACCCAGGGGAGAAGACTCATGTACAAGCCAAGGTGAAAGGTCCCTGAAAAAACAACCCCACCAACACCTCGATTACACACTTCTAGTCTCCAGAATTATGAAGAAATAAATTTCTGTTGTTTAATTTAAGCCACCTAGGCTGTGGCACGTTGTTCTGGCATTCCTAGCAGATGAATACATATGACAACCCGTATGCTCAGTACTCCCAGAATGCATCCTTTTTAAAATAGACATGCCTGGTACAGGATTACTGGACACAGCAAAGAGTGGAAGAAAAACCATGTTAGATAATTCATTGCATTTATAGGCAGTGGCAAAGACGTGCCTTAAACAACGTTATTGATCTTTATTCTACATTTTACAGGGAGATGAGAATCTCTTCTGTGAGTAATACCCATGTATTTGTCCAAATTTTTGAGGGAAAAATGAGGATGAGCATGCACACGGGTAGTGCTATTTGCTATCAGTACAAGAAATGCCTTGTACCTTGTATCTGTTCTTGTGTCTTCTAATTATTTGTTATATGAAATTTCTGGTATAATAATATGTTAGAAAAGCTAAAATTCCTTTAGGATACAAAAAACAAGTATCTAAATATAAATAAGTAAATAAATATTTGAATTACCAAAAATTTGAATTAAAATGTTAAAAATGAAAGAATGTTTTCCTAGAAGTTTGAGCCAAAAAAGGTGTGCATGCCTTATAGACAGGACCACAATATACATAGCGAAATACGGTAGTTCAAACCCTGCTCCTCTTTAAGGTTAGCAGAAAGGGAGGGTGATGGGTGGGGTCACCTCTATGGTTTATCTTACAAGGGCACAAGTGAATCTTCCTAAAAGCAGAGTATGAATGTCTTAACTCAATAACTAAGAAAACGACATGAAGGCTATGTTAATCAGTTTGATGAGAGTATCTCAAATTGTATATGAAAACACCACACTGTACCCTGTGATTGCATTTAAGGTACACAGCTATGATTTAATAAATAAAAAAAAAAAAGAATTTCCAAACACGCTTTTGGTTTTCATCAATTAGATGCCGCTGAGTTGTGGGTTTCAATTCCAGCAACTGAAGCTGGTAGTTGTATCCTGGGCTACCATTAATTGTGTTAGAGGAATAGTAAGCATATTTCCTTGGTGTGTCCTGTTATGACAAGGCCTGCTACAGGTCCACCTCTGGGTACTTAGGGAAAGGAGAAGGTAAGGGAATAAATGTTAACTGCAAATGAAGAAGGCAATTATATGATGCAAACACTATTTTGGAAGAGCCACAATCCTTGTCTGATAGTTTATAAGCATGTATTCTCTATAGGGGCAATAGCTCCTCCAAGGTGGTGAAAATTGATTTGGGCTGGGGAAGAATCTTAAATATTACAATGGTTTGTGACCCTCTAAAAGGTCACAGCTACATCAATATATACACAGTATATCATTGGTATTATAATTTTGTGGGAGAAGGGCAAATGGAGAAAAAAAATGTCCAAAAACCTCCTTAGGGAGGGTGGTAATGAAAAAGAGGCTGGAGTACACTTCAGAAGGGTATTCATTTAGAAATTGTAGTGTCTTAACTATAAAGATCTTGCAGAATGGTCCTGGAGGGCTTTGGCTCCTAATACTGAGTGAAAACTGGTAACTTAATGAAAATTTAGTGAGTTTCTTTCAAAGACTGAAGGCCAAAGCAATAAAATTTTAAAAGGCCATTGAGCAAATGTGTAAAAACAAGGCATAACTTTGATAGAGACCAAAACATGAATTAACACAATAGTAGGGAATAGTAGGGAATTCTTGAACTCAAGGGAGAGATATTTGTATGGGTCAAAAGAAATGATTCGTGAAAGGGACGAGGTAAGGGAGCCACAAGGAGAGATTTTTAAAGAATACAAAATCACAGCTAGATCAGAGAGATAAAGTCTAGTGTTCCTAAGTATGATGTGACTATATTTAATAATGTATAATTTCAAATAGTTAGAAGGAGGATATTGAATGTTTCTGACATAAAGAAATAAAAACATATGAGATGTTGCACATGCTGATTATCTTGATCTGATTCTATACATTATACATACTAAAACACCACTGTGTTAATTAATATGTGCAGTTCTTATTTGTCAATTTAAAAATTTTTTTAAAAGAATTGATGTAAAAAATTATTTTTCAGAAAAGCAGGAGAAAAATTAAAAGAATATTTGCTTTTTTCATTCTTTTAGCTTCTTCCAGCCTCCCCTGATATCACTAAGTTTCTGTCTCCTGTGGTTTGAGTGACACTGTCCCCAGCCCCACTCTCACACTCCATTCCACCTATAATTTCATCTCAAGAATGGGCCCCTAATATCCACTGAAGCCCCGCATGTGTTTGTTTCCTTCTTCCGAGTCCTGTTACCTCTTATAAGCCTCCCCATGCCCCACTTTCCAGAGATTTGTTTTCTGCTGTTTTCTATATGAGCATGTATGAATACAATAATGGTCCTCCCAGGCCACAGAACAAGATTTTTCCAGTAGCCCCTATAAATGGTTAAATGGTGCTAGACTCAGAGGAAGTTAAATGGGAGGCAGGCAGTCTAGCAGAGCATGGTAAGGGTAGGTTGACTTCAGGCATAGCATAACTGTGAATCTCAACTCCTCCACTTAGAGTCAGAAAGTGAACTGAGGGATGTTATGTTGTGAATTACCTCACTACCTCAATTAACCAACCAGCCAATCAATCACTGTAATTCCAAGCCTGGTAGCCATTCCTAATTTTACTACATTTGGAGTCTAATGATGCAGTCTATTTTGTATGATTCATTCCCCGTTAGAACTGTTCTTTGTTGCTGGTAATTCATTACCTCCATTTTATGGCACTCGTACTATTTCTGGTCACACCTGCTGTGAAGAGTAATAAAGGAAACATACTTACAAAGAACTTAAAATAACATTGAAAGATGATCTTGTTTAATGGCTCTGGAGCCAATCTGCATGGGTCTTCTACGAATTCAGTTCCTGCCTTTCCATCCCTCTAAACCTCATCATCGCCATCGAGAGCCACAGCCAACTGAAATTCCCAAAACAACTACAAACATATCAATCCCCTCTTCCCAACTTGGTAGCCATTGTTTTTGCAGAAAACCTGCCTTTGGCCACACCTCCCCCAGAACATGTTATACTTTCAGAAGGACTTGTTCTGCTAGCGGCATCAGCCTTGATTTGCATAAAGGACTCAGAATTAAGAACGCTGCATTAAAGGAGGGAGGGGACAGGGGAGGATGGGTGGAAGGAGGCTGATTGCTGGGATTACGCCTATGATTTATCCTATAAGCGTACATGTGAATCTTTCTAAATGCGGATATAAATGTCTTAACACAACAACTATGAGAATGACATGAAAGCTATGTTGGCCAATTGGATGAAA